TACAAATATTTTTGGCATGCTCAAGAAAGGCTGTGTGTTTTTATAGCACAGTCTCCTTAAACAGGACTATTTGTCATTCTTTGAAACACTAAGACATAAAAAAGAAAGACTCTGACTCTGTGTGTGGCCATACTACTTTGCTTAATGCACTAAATGCAAGGTTTTTTAGAAAAAAAATCAAGAAGTTTCTGCTCCATTGATAATCTGACAGTAACTATTTATTGAAGTTAAAATACTTGTTGTCTGCTGTCACTATTTGTTTTAATACATAATCTTGCTAACTAAATGAGTTTAAAGCAATGCAGATAAGCAATGGTATGTACAGGGTCACTTAAATGCCAATTTGACTGTTTCATAAACTTTGGAATTCTTTTCCCATGAGTTCTTTCTGGGCTACTAAATTGTGAGTAATATCCATTTACAAAGTTTGGGCTGGCCATAAAAAGGTTGTCTTCCGTGTCCAGCACACCTTTCAGTGCCCTAAGCAACAACAAAAGCTAATAATTAAAGCTTCTTTAAACCCCCATTAAGAGTTAAATGAAGAAGAATCTAGAATAAACCAACTCATAAAAACCTAGTGGTATAATAAGGAGAAAATCAGAGTTTCAACAAGGTAAACGGCAAAAGGTAAACCATAATCTAAATTGCATTTACACACTGTTATTCAAAATTGTGGTTGTATTCCTGCGTAATAAGAAACTCCATTAAAAATATGGGTGAGGAGATGAAACATGATAGTACAGAAAAATAAAGCCATCAAAATTACCAAATTTATTGACCTATGGACATTTTGTGTTGGGTTGTCTTTTATTTTATCATAACGAAATTAGTCAGGATAAAAGCAATTTATCCAAATCAAGCATTACAGTGACCAAAAATATCAAATCTTACATGCTAACACTTAATTTTCTTTAGTCTCACAAACAGCTATTTTTATTCTAGTGATTGTTATATCATTAAAGTACATTTTTCAAAAATAGGAAAGGAAAGAAGCACAGAATATAGCATATACATCCTAACTGTAAAATCTGTCACCACTTTTTCTGTGAGAAGGTTTAACTCAGATCTCGTATATCAATCTCTAAAACATTTAGTTTTCCTTTTAAAAATGTATTTCCATGTATCAATGCTACTGAATAACTTAGCTTCCAATAATAAAATTTATAA